CCCTTCCCCTTCCCCTTCCCATTCCCCTTTTCCACCTGTTTTGTTTTTAAGTCACTTACTTAATTTAAAAATTCAATAATACATATTTTCTTGATTCAAAGCAGGACTGATCCCCAATGGTTTGTCTTTTCTTTCAAGTAAACTTAGGTAGAAATAATTAACAAACATGCATTAAAATTCCTAAATAGATGTTCCAGGGATGAGGAATCTATGTTTTCAGAAAGAAATATCTCTACTCTGGGTGGTGCTGAAGCCGTTATCCTCTCTCAATCCTTGGTATTTGTGTTCCCCATGGAAGCAGACTGATGATGCCATAAAAGCCTTTGAGTTTGGTAAAAAATGAAAGGTAGATAAAAGTAGAAAATAAAGGCATGAAGAGCAAAGAAAATTTATATGTTTGTAGATATGATTTCTATATCTTTGTAGATAAATCATTCTAATCAGCAGGGGGATAAGCAAAAACCCTCTGTAGGTGCTATTTTCTACAGCAGAGACGTCACTCCACAGAAAACCAATTTAAAAGGCATAGTATTGCAACTTTGCTTTAGTGATTTGGCAACATTTCTTTTCCTCTATTCTCTTGCCCTGCTGAGCCCATCACTGTGCGTTACTCTACCATTCTCTATCCTAAGCTTTCTCTTTTCTTCACATCCATTGCTCCTCTCTCTGTCTCTTTTTAATGTTATTTCCCTCTTTTAGTGTTTTTATTCTTTCTGTTCCACTTGACATTACTGTCCTCTTAAAGATCACGTCCCATACACCTGGAACTAATAAAAAACTTTGGGCCTTTTTATGGTTCATTACCAAAACCCTCTCACTGGACAATGACTTCTAGCAATAGCAGTGTAAGTGGTTTTCCCATGAATGAAAAAATGCAGCATCTTTCTCAGGGGAGAAACACTGGTATTTCAAATTATTCTGTTCCAGGCAGACTCTGATATTTAGAAGTAGCTGTTTGTAAGCCCAGTTCCTATCTTCATCAGGACCCATGATCAGCTTTAAGCCAGGTGACTGTGACTGCTTGGCAAAGGCAAGGTGTAACACCTACCACCATGGCTTCTGTGTCGACTCCCTGTTCCAGACCCTGCAGGGACAGGGAGATGGACACGGATTCATGCAGAAATCTACAGCCCAAATGTCAGAGCAGTGATTCTCAAACCTGATTTGTTCAGATGCAGGTACCCTGCAGACACTGATGCCCCTTGCAGGAGCTGGGAGCAGCTGCTTTGCAGTGGTTCCCGAGCCAGCACTGAGGTAGGAGAGCACCAGCCCCACTTCCCCTCCCACCTGGAATGAGATGGATATTTGGCAGGTGTGAAGGGGGCAGCCATTGCTGATTTTTGATGTGCCTTTTGGCACTTGCATTGTACACACCTCTTTCAATGCACATTAATTTAATTTATTACAGTTGATATTTTGTTCCTTTGAACCATTGATCATCTCAGTCCTCTATGCCCATAAACTGATCTTATTGTTTGTCTGAATTTCATAGAGTATTTTAGTGGGGGAAAAGTATGTATGTCATGTATAACAAAATAAACACTTAATCAGCAAACACTATTCATAAAGTACATTAAACAAAACATATTCTAGAACAATTTATACATTTTATATTTTGAACGTTACTAACATTTTCAAAGACTTTGAGGTGAAGTCCTACATTAATGTAAGAAAACATTCAAAAGTAAAACTATTAAGACAACTCTAAAAACCAAAAAAATATTTTAACACTAAAGATCACTTTGTATAGCTATCATAATTGTATATATTATATTTTGGGGGTTTATCATTAATATATTGCCTCTGGTAAAGTAAAAAAAATAATACAAAAACTTAAGAACACTGAAATTCAAAATTATGTGTGGGATGAATTGTAAAGAAAAACGTGAAGGCTAGAGATAGGTGACAACTGGTAGATGAAATTTATTCAACCTGTCAATTCTTGTAAAGACTGCATTACTGAATTTTACCGGCATATCTAACAGTGAGAGAATAGGTGAAGGCAATGAATAAATTGGAAGTTAGTTGACTAGATGATGCACTGAAATA